AACTAATCATTCCTTAAAAATAAATGAAAATATTTTCTTTGAGGCCCCTTGTGTCTGTTATAGACACAATTTTCCAGATCTATTTCACTCTTCGGCATTTATGCTTTTGTTACAAGCTTTCTCACAGCAGCGCAGGTAGCTGTTCTCTTTCACCTACTGGTGCTAGAAACCTATTCAAAAGAAACTGCCAAAGACTTCCCATTCTGAGGCTTGGTCCTGGCATGAAAACACACATAGCACTGCAATTGTGTTCATGCCATCAGCAGTGAAGGATAAATGAAGCCATCTATCACTCCACACTTACACAAGATTATTTTTCTTCTCAGAGGATAATCATAATAATAAGCATCTTCTGCTCTTCACCTCTGCATAGAAACTGATGCATGTGAGAATGCTGACTTCAGACATGAAGCATTTATAGCAACACTCAGTGCTGATTCCAGAAGCTCCGGATTTTAAGGCCCACAGGAATCCTCTCTCCCCATGTCCTGCATGGCACAAGCCAGAAAATTCTCCCCATGATTCCTGCATCTGAGCCCAAAGCACCTGCACAGTCCTATCTTCTCACTGCACTGGAGAAGTCGCCCACTTATTCTGATGGTTAACTATCCCTTTCATTATGAATCATTTTAACATCAAACTGGGATACTACTCTGCATTGGCCTGCTACACTGAAGAGCCATCAAGTTCCACATTTACTCCAGTGAAAGTAACTCACTTTGATCATCATGTTAATACTGCAGAGCTTCTCTTGCATGGGCCTCTAGGTTTTTCAAACAAAATGGATACTATAATGGTTTTGTTTTGTTCTCTTTTTTTATAGAAACACTTTATTGCTGCAGTCAATAACCCTGTGTATCACACACAAATAACCAATTACAGTTTAAGAAACTAAAAATAATTCTTCAAGTGGTAATACTGAGAAAATGAACATAGATGAAAGGATACAAAACTATACATTTAAGTTACTAGAAATTTACTAACTAAAAAATTCTGCAGAAGTGTGAAGTGTCTTGTATAAACTATACAACACATGCCAGTGTAAAGTTGTTTAACGTTATACAATTACCTATCTACAAATGTTTTACCTAAATACAAGATTAGCCACAATTTTTAAACAGTTTTCCATACAAAGACAAGTGCTTTCAGTACTTCATCAGAATACACAGACACTGCAATATCTCAAAACTAAAAAGTAATCACAAAATAAAAGGTCCTGCTTAGAAGTTTTCCTCGCATATCTAATATAACGCTGTGAAAATCCAGCCAGCAATATCCTTGCTTTTGTATTTGCCCTGTTTCACTCATATTTGAGAGGGACCCAACCCAGCGTCACTGACCTCCCTTTCATTGCTGGCCACGATCTCCACAGCAGACTACACCAGAAATCTGCATCTTAACACACTTCGGCTTTAGGAGAAATTTGGACCCAGGTCCCACTTTGTAGTAGATACTTACCCAGGCAAACACAGGGCAGAAGCAACCGGCTCCCGTGCATGGCCATATCCATGCATCACAAGCGGCACGCCAAGCGCCCCCCCTTCCTTACAGCACTACCACAAGTGGGACTGATGCTCTGACCAGTGGATTCGCTGAAGGCGGCTTGGACAGGGAGTTACCTGCTTACCAGGATTTCCCAGGTACAGCACAGAGGCCCAGCACTTCTCTAACCCCTTGCGGGCTCAGCGTAACCTTTGTCGAATCCCTCCTGCTGAAATCTCAATGACATTCAACCAGAGGAAGCTGTCCTCAGGTCTGGCCATCTCTTCAGAACACAGGGCAACATTTTAAACACCATGCCAGCTCCCAAAATACAGGGTTACAGTTGAAGAAAGTCCTGAGAATTCATAGGAATTTAATGTCTCGTGATCCCTTAAATGAGATCAATGTTCTGCAGCACACACCTGTATTTCTAACACAATGCATGTTCATGACCTGGCAGATATACCAAATACGACGTCAGGAAGATTTTCTTGGCACAGCTGGCGCTTTTTTGGACAGGATTTAAGTCAATAGAAAGGGAGTCTGGTCAGATGTCTAGGGCATGGGATGTATCAGCAAAGGCTCTGGCAAGCTAGGGAAGGGATCGTGGTAGATGGTATTAAGCCTATATTCCCTTCTATTTAAGTTCTGGTCTCAGAGAAGTCCCAGGTAACCCAAACTAACTTTGGCCAAAGAACAAGGACCAAAAAAAGTCAGACTTCTATTTCGGTCATTTCAAAAGCTGCCAGAAGGAAGTGTTGGAAAGCCTGACATTACAGGGGGTGGTCATTCCCCTTACTGACATCTGGGTGGGAAGGACAGAGCTCATCTGAGCTAGCATCAGTGCCTTGCATCTGGAAGCTGAAAACAAACCAACAGTATCTCCTTGAGGAGAAAGAAGGGAAAAGCACCATTCAGCCTTCTCACACCATCTGATGGCACCATGCAGAAGCAGAGAACTGCAGCTCCAGAAGCCCACTGTTAACACCAAGCAAGAATCAGCATGAGAAGTGTGACCAGCACAAATGAAAACCCCTGCAGCCCTTCCTGCTATGAACATTCCTAAGCAGTATAAAGAGTTTAAATATTGGGCCTCGATTTTCATTCAGAAAAGACCTGCTGGGAGAGGGAATGGTTAACAGCAACACCGGCTAGATCAGTTTAATCCGCAAATATTTTTCCCCAGATGATTTTGCTGGAGATGATTTTTCTTCCCAAGTTAAGATACACAGGGCCACAGCAAAAACTCCAGTATCCTGAACACACCGAACGCTACCTGGTACATGCCACATGGAGCTTCCAAAACACCAAATGAGATTTCACAATGTTTCACCAAGAATCACGTCTGACAGTGATTGAAGCAGGACCAGCAGGTTACAGTAGGCTGTATCAGCACTTGTCAGAACATCACTCAGACACCAGTGCCTCTCAGGTGCAAGCTGGAAAACAAGCAAGTTTCATACCAATCTTGTCCATTTTCATTTCAGCTACTTGCCACAGATCAGATGAGAACATGCACAGCATCAGTCGGCACCTGATTCTGTGCATCTTGCCGCTGTAACATGAGCATCTCGCAGCCATGCAAGCCTTGTGCACTTGGGCATTTCAGAAGAACATGATGAAGGTGTGCAAGACCTGATATTTAACCCACCTGAGTTTACCTAGTAAATCTTTTCACAGGACAAAATAGAAAACAAAGCAGACAGCATATTGTCTGGGTTCTCATAATAGAAGAGGGTCACCCACAGCAGGGTTCAGGAAAGGGCCCGAGTAATTGCACTTTAAGTTATGGCAGCCATAGGCAACAAACTCTACATGCATATGGTCATGAAGACTGCTGCCCCCATACTAGCAGGGTATGCAGGGTTTGTCTGCCTGTATTACATAAGCATGGGACATCCTGACGCATCTAGCGCAGTACACAAACCCATGCCAGTGCAGCTTTGCTAGGAATGCCTAGAGGTCTGGGTATTTTAAAACATCTTAAGAACAAGGTACCATGTTGTTCACGAAGATCACAGCCAGTAAACTGCAAGCAAGAGATCACGCAGAGGCACGCACGCGCACATGCACTTTTCCTCTAACAGCTCTTAGAAACCACTGGTGTGTGCTCTCTTACCATAGTCCCTTCTCTGCCTTCTTTTAAAATATTAATTTTAAAATAAATAAATATTACATTTTAAGGAAAAAAATCACCAATCTCTTACCATTACTCTTTGGGAAGTCTTAAAGCAACTATTGTTATTATGAAAAGAACTTGCCCAATTAAAGTTGTACTTGTAAAAGACAGAAGGTTTCACCTAACTGAGAAGTCCAGACAACTCCTACTAAGACCAACCAGAAGACTATAATTGACTCTACAGGGATTTAGATAGGGCTCAGGTAGGGAAATTCAGCTTTCCAATGCAGACGCCACGTGTACTGACATTTTGTGGGGCTTGGTTTCTGCTCCAGTCACGCCAGGACTTTGGTTAAATGAGGGCTCGAAGCTGGACAGCGGCTCAGTGAAACAGATCAGTCAAGCGAATCAACAGCAGACACCCCAGGCTTTGGGCAACTCTGTCTAAAGCCCTGCAAACAGGTTTTAAAGCTGTCCCTCTCTTTCCATTAAGGCTGACCAATTAAAAAGCCAGTCCCCAATTCAAAAGCACAGACAAAACTATTCTCTGACCACATAATGCATCACATCAGGACTCAAACCAGGCAGGTATTTTTAAACTCATTCACTTAATGCAGTATTTACTTCCTAGACTTTGATCTCAGCATGTCCTCTGACAACATCAAATTCTTGGGTAATTCACACGTGACACAGCACTAAAGGAGGAAAACAAATTTCAGCTGTATTGACTAAGTATCTTTTTTTCCGTAACAGCTCACATTTTTACCAATATAGCAACAAACCTTTTGCTAATGGTTTGGAATGAAAGTTACATCAGGTATGTATGTGCAGGTGTGTTGATGGTCTGACCTGTTAAAAAAAAAAAAGAAGGCAAAACCAATCCCCAAACAGAGCACTGAAACCATTACGCATTGAAAACGAACACTGTACACATCTACTACTCCCCATACACAAGTCACAAGTGCAATATCCTTTGAAAAAAAATTGGTTCTCAAAGGAAACCCAAAGAGGCAGAGTTTTTTAGTGTTGTGTTTAGTAAGATAATGTAGGGCATGTGTTGGAAATCACAGGTTGGAATTTTTTTTTAATTTTTTTTTTTTTTATATAAGGCAAGAGGTTTACGTTCCAGAAGAATAGATGGGGTAAAGAATGAAGAAATGTTTTGAAAATGACACATTCTTTCAAGTTTCATTCTCATTTGACATACATATTACAAAATAAAGATTTTTAAAAGTGCTATATGCTTTGTAAGTCTCACCACAATATGTAAAGCAAAGTTTTACACCTGCTGCCTAAGACAAAATGTTAGTGGCAGTGTTAGCGGTAGATTAGACTCTAGCTCTCTCATTTCCCTCAATGTTTGGGACAACCTCCTTCTTCACATTTAAAAAACAAACAAACCCCACTCTACACATATTCCAGAATCATTTAGAGTCATCTTCAAAAGTAACAGACTCCATGAAGTTGAATACAGTTCACTAGCGGCTTGCTTGATACCAAACACAAGGCTCATTCTACCCAGTATCCTGTGGCTCTTTGATCAGCCAGTACAAGAGAAAACGTTGAGAGGTATGCAACCATGATGACATTGACAGATATGCCAAAGGTATTTAAAAAAATTCCAACAAAAAACAAATGTAAAAAAATTCATCCGCCAGCCCTCAGCTGTTAGCCGATTTTAAAAAGGTAGAGCAGTTTGCAGTAAACAATGATATTTTAAATCTTCAAGGACATACAGAAACACCCCTCCCACCCAGCAATCAGACATGAAGGATTTCTGCAGCACAGTCTTCTGGCTCTGTGTAATGCGAAGAGTTTGTGTCTGAATGGTGAACCCCAAGCATTTCTTTACTTTCGAAGTTTGGCTCCATTAGTGCAGGTTTTTCAAAAATATTCTTTTTGCTAGTTTCCGGACAGTTTTGTACATATATTACTCGGTTATAAGCTTTAAGTCTCTTCCACAGCTGTACGTACACTTTGCATTGTACATACATGAACAGAAGTCCTCCAGTGAAACCAATAGCCACAACCACCAGCTTAGTCCAAAATGGCCACTCTAGAATTCCTGGAAGAAAGAAAGTTAAAAAAAAAAAGAAGAAAAAAAAAAGCACCAGGTCAATATTGGCTGGACTACATTGGATCTCCCAAAAACATCATTTAAGGAAACTGTCAGAGTTTGGGCCATCAAACTATTCTTATTTTGCCATTTTTCTCACTTAGCATTTTTTTTCCCGTTCAAGTCAAACACATGCAGACTTCTAAACTGTTGAGTTCATATATCACATTTATTGTCACCCACCAGAGGAAAAACAAAACAACTGATCCTCTGTGTCTGAGCACTTGTGCAGCACAATCACAGAGCCAAGGCAATAGTTTAGGTCATTTTACACCTGTTTTTAAAAGAAAATTGGATCAGATTATGAAAGGGATTCTATGACATGGTTTTCTCTTCATAGCAGGAGACTCAACTCAGTGACCCATGAAGCCACTCTGTAATCACACAGTACATCCAGTCACAGTCTTTAAACTCAAAAGGGAATGATTGTTACCATCTAGCTTGGTGTGTTCATCATGCAGACCAGACAATTTTATCTGCATCACACCCAGTAACTTGTAGTTGAACTAGAGCGTCTCTTCTGATACAAAACTGCAAGTGTTGGAGATGCTGAAGCATTCTGGCAGGCTTACCTTCTCTATTAAAAATGACTGCCATCACTTTTCCTGAATTTGTCTAGCTTGAACTTTTAGACATTGGATCTTGTTACATCTCTATCAAACACTTTTAAATGAGAGATTATTCATTTATACATCATCTGCTTACATAGGTCCTGTATCCACACAGTTTCTCTCCTCTTTAAAGATAAGTAGCATCAGAAGATGGATATGAAATCATGCTTAATCACTATCAGGTTTCTCAGAGAATAAAGTCATGGCCTCCCAAGTATTCAAAGTTTTTTACCAAGATAGAGGCCAGCGATCTTTGGAAATACATGGTAGCGTGGGAGGAATGAAAATATTTTAGTCCCAAAATACGAAAGATGCTGCAGTGTGACTACTGCTGAAATCCCACCCATGATTAATACCTGAACCTCTGATTCACAGGTAAGCTATCTGATGCCATTTGTAGGCAGTGATAGCATATGCTTGCCCCTATGCAGACATGAATGTATACACACACACGCTCCCCACAACCCCCCTAGCTCATTACAGCACTCCCATATTTAGAATCTAAATGCAGGGAACAAAGGCAGCACTGTAACAAGTACTAAATATTCACACTAATACTCCTATTCATGTTCATCTAATACATTTATTGGCTAAAATAACCTGAAGACAATAAATCTTTGAAAGCATGTCCTTTTCATTATCATATGGAAACCTTACTTTGAAAGGCCAACCATTTTCAGCTAACATGGAAGAGACGGGGTTGGATGGAACAGGAACGAAAAGATTTCATTCAAAGCAGCTTCCTGACTGAAGTCATGAACAATCAAACTACAGCCCAAATGAGAAACGACAGCAGAACTGTTCAGTTTGAAGTGTGATTCTGTTCTGAAGAGACTGTAACAGCTCTGTGGATTTGCAGGCTTACTGATGCTCAGCTACCTCCCTAGCTGACGC